AAAAACAAACTAAATAAAGCATTGACCAGCATCTCAGGGGATGAAAGTCTAGAAAGTATAGAGAACAACATCAGAACAGAAATAATTCAAACACACACCGAAGGCTTGGTGGATGGAAGAACACAGCAAAGCACATAGAATACTTGTGGCTGCCCGAAAAAGGCAAGACTCACAAATAGAGTGGATGACTTTGAAATTTTAATTGAAAATGAGGAAGAATGGGAAAAAATTGTGAGGGAGGCCAAAAAGAATAACTGGCTGAAGAAGATTGAAGAAATCAATGAAAACCCCAACAGCAAAAACACTTGGAGATTCATAAACAATGCAAATGGTAGTAGAAAACACAAACCAAATCTGTGGTCCCAGGATGAGAACCACAAGTACCTGGAATGGCTTCAAAAATAAACGGAAACAACTGGCACCTTAATGACCACAACAATGACGACACACCCGAGAATGTAGCAAAACAACGACTACGTAAAATTTAACATGGAAAGTTTTGAAAATCTTAAAAAAAAACAAAAAATCAACTGCAGGTGGGGTGGATCGGATAACATATGAAATACTTAAACACATTCCAAGAAAGGCTAAAAGCGAGCTCATCAAGGCACTAGAAAAACATTTCAATGAAAACGAAGTCAAACATAGCTGGAGAGAAATAAAAGTAGTTCCGATACCCAAGGCCAACAAAAACCTTGAGGACTATAAGAACTACGAACCAATTTCACTTATATCAACCGTGGTCAAAAGCTTGAACATGCTAGTTAAAGAAAGCTTAACAAACTTCATTGACACAAAAAAATTACAACCAAACAGAAGTTTTGCCTACAGAAAAAGCAAGTCTGCTATTATGTGCATCAATGAAGTTCTCTTTAACACAAACATTCTAAAAAATCAAAAGGAAACAGTTTTCTTATGCATTTTGGAACTCATGGACGCCTATAACCGAGTGGATATGAATGTGCTGCACAGCATACCTAAACAGAATAACATCAATGATAGAATCAGCAACTGAAAGGAAACTTATACTTGGGAAACAGTCGGTTACGGTCAAAAACGGGCTGCCCCAGGGCAACTGCTTATCACCGGTCCTTTTCAACCTCTACACGGCGGGACTACATCAAATCAACAACAACGACACCACTCTCTACCAATTTGCAGACGATTTCGTCATCCTAATACCATGTTCTGACCGACATTGAAAACATGTTTTCGTTGCTAAAACTGGTTTTCGACCTAAAACTTGTGTTTTCGTCTATGTAAAATCTGTCAAACGAAAACCAGTTTTCGCTGAAAACTACTTGAAAACTCACGTTCCACTCATTCCAATCGGTGTCTTCACTAGTTTTTTTTCGATTATTTATCGAAGTGGAAGACGTAGTTTATCATCTTTAATAAGCCATTTCGGATTTATTGTTAATTGGTCTGCCTAAGTAAAATAAGATTGAAAGTAAGAGGTTGTAAATGCAAAGAAAATGAAGGAAAAGTATTTTGGTTTTGTTTTTGTGTAGCAAAACTGTTATCAAAAGATGTAAGAAACACTAACAGCCGGTGTGAACAGCACACAATCCCAAACTCGTTTTCAAAGCGTTTTCGTTGTCGGTCAGAACATAGTATAAGTAGCAGCTTGGATGAAAACAAGGCTTTAAGTAATCTAAAACATAAGATCTTGGAGTGCAATAACCTTAATCTAACCTTCAATTACAGCAAAACCAAATTTATGTACATTACATCAGGGAAAAGAATAAATTTCAGTCTGAATATAAATTCAACTGAAATAGAGCAAACCAGCAGTACAAAATGGCTGGATATAACCCTAAATGCAAACCTCACCATAAAGGATCATGTTGAGCAAATTAAAAGGAAAACTAACCTGTGAAGGAACCTCATAACAAAACTCACGTCGATCTAAGCAGGGTTGCAGCCAAACACGGCACTCAATCTATATAGAACATTTGTAAGATCCAAGGCGGAGTATGCGTGCACAACGTACACCAATGCGGCGGAAACTCACAACAAAAAAATACAAACAATACACAACAATACAATTAGAAGATGCTTGGGACTAACGCCTAGCACCCGAACACATATACGTTACGCCCTAGCAGGTGAACTACCGCCGCTACACAGGGCTGAGTGGTTAGCAAGCAAATAACTCGCCAAACAGTGGATGACGAACAATAACATTAAGAGAGAATTAGAAAATTTCCCAATAAACAACTCTAGCTACAGCCATACGTATAACAAATTCAAAAACATACTAAATAAAATAAACACCAAAACCGACTTTAACAATTACACAAACATCACACTTATCACAAAGGTTCTTAGTCTAGGCAAGCGAGAGTACAGCAAAGAACAGCTTACAGCCACATACAGTGAAATGAGAAACAAATTACAATCAGTCAGTGAAGACAAAGTAGGTTGTGCGGTACATGACCAAGACATGTCATACCTTTTCTGCTTGGATCGCATTTTCACATCCACCTTTGGGGAGATCATGGCATTAAAACAGGCAATACTTCTAGCAATAAAAATCAAACTCATTAAAATTTGTATTTTTACGGACAGCTTGGCGGCAATTAATGCACAATTTCTTAGTGGCAGAAATAAACAACACACTCTGCAATTCCAACATCGAAGAGGTCAAAATTATTTGGGTTCCCAGCCATATAGGAATCTCCTTCAACGAGAAGGCGGATCTGGCGGCAAAAGTAGCGACAACCAGGGGTAAAATTATAGAAACCTGACTGACTCCAAACGAAGCACTACTACGCATTCACAGAGTCATATGGGCAAAGCCTCCACCTGTAATAACAAAAGTAAAACCTTCTTTTTACACACAAATAAAATATCCAAGAAACCATGGTTCAAAGACAAGAAACTTACTCTCAACGCACAGGACAGTAAACTACTAAACAGACTCATGACCGGACATACATATGGGAAGCTATATAGAGCAAGATTCTAACAAGGGGTTACCAACTCTTGAAATTTCTGTCAAGATGTGGAAACCCCAAACCATGTTATTTTTGAATGCGCACATTTTGATGAAGTAAGAGACTCTTATGCCCTCTTTAAACAAATCAATGACTTAAACTCCCTATTTGAAAGCAAAGATACAAAATAATTGGTAGAATTAATTAACTTTATGCACGAAGTACAAATAGACAGGAAGTTTTAGCAATAAACTATATTTTTAAAACACAAACAGTCAAAAAACATGCTAAGGAAAAAATAAACAAAAAACTAATAAATAAAAATAAAAGACCTGTAAAATGTAGGGAAAAGCACATCTTATTAAAATCATATAAACAAACTCACAAAATTTTCGATTTTTGACTTCAAATGTACTTAATTCTAGTCATGCATACTATCTATATTAAAAAAAAAAAAAACAAGAAAAGAAAAACTGAGTTACAATGTATACTTATCATAGAAGATAAAATTGAAAACAACTAGGGAAATGGTTCCCCAGGAAACCTATCGTTAAAATTGTGTGTGTGTTAAAAGATTTTATATATGTATATTAAAATAACATTCCTGTCAATGTATGTATTCTTCTGTATGTACCCAGTAGAACTTGGGAGCATCGTACGATTGCTCGGTGAGTACTCCCTTGGGAGTATACGAATACTCCCCATTGCTCCCTATGCTTCTGTGTATAAGCATGTAATTTTGTATACTCCCTTTAACATTGGATGTCCTAGGAGGGGGAGTAATCCCTTTTACCTCCTAAACGAGCAATCGGGGAGCACACACAGAATTATCATCCCACAAACCTCCTAATAGAGCAATACGGGAGTACTCCCATAGTTACCTCCCAGAAACCTCCCAAAAAGACAACAAGGGAGTGCACATAGAAAACATCCCATATTCCTCCCGAACGAGCAATAAAGGAGCGCTCCCATTAGAGACATCAAGAAAACCTCCTGTAGGAGTAATAAGAGAGTAATGATAACGAATATTTTACATTAGCCACATGGATTTTGCTATTTATTAAATTTTTTTATTTAACTTTTTAATCACATGCATTTGTGCAATATTACAAGATCTTAAAAATAAAGCATAAATGATACGTCTTACATAATTGCTTAATTTTAGAAATATATTGCAGAGAAATCATATGAAATTAAAACATAATAATAACAAAACGGTAAGATAAGATTTGAATTATATGCACCTATATGCACATATAAGTATGTACTCCTATATGATTTCCTGGGTGTCAAGGATGCTTGCCAGTTCAGGAATCCACCAAGCGGGGAAATTGTGAAGGTGACTTTGCTTATCTGACATCTTTGTCACCCATGCGATGTTTAAAGCCGGGGGTCACACTTAAATGCTGACACTAATTTGCGCAATCTGAAAAGTATTTAAGGGTGCATTTACAAGTAATACAATACATACTTAATATATTTAAACAAAAATTGAAGTGCATACCAACGGACTTTTATTAAAATCTGTGTGCTATCCAAATTAAATTATTGTGTGCTCCTTATGCTTCTATAAGAAATATTTTCTGTTGTTTTTTTTTGTATGATAAATTTTTTCGAAAACACAAATTTCTTTTGGGCGAGGGGCGTATTGCTCTCCTATCAATCAAAAAGAATACTCTTGGATTTATCGCTTAGGAGACATCACTTTTTGCTCCTAAGCGAGTAATAACGGAGTACAAAACCGACAAATCTCGCTTATTGCTCCCAAATCATGCCTCAGGGAGCATTCTTTAATTGCTCGCTTAGGAGATCTCTCATTAAGCTCCTAAGCGAGCAATACAGGAGTACAAAACCGAGAAATCTCGTTTACTGCTCCCAAATCATGCCTCAGGGAGCAATATTTCGTCGCTCGCTTAGGAGATCTCTTATTTGACTCCTAAACGAGTAATAAAGGAGTACAAAACCGACAAATCTCTCTTATTGCTCAGAAATCAGGTTAAGGGGAGTACTCTTTTATTCCTCACATAGGGAGATCTCCCTTCAAGTTCTAGTGGGATCATAAGTATTATTGTTTTTTGTTCATTTTTGTTAACTCATCCAATTCTTGCTCGGAAACTCACCTCAACAGTTACGCTGGCATTTCATCAAGCAAGCTGCATACATTTTAACATCGTCTTAAAAAAAGACGTCAACACATGTATAACCTGGTGTTAGGGAGCTAGCTGAAAAACTCCCGACCATTTAAAGGAGCCATCGCTTCTAAAACCAAAAAAAAAAACTGCGTCGTCACGCAAACGAAATTTTCCAGCACGTGAAGACGGCCGGTTTTTTGTTTCCTTTTCAACTACGACCATTTTTAGTGTCATTGTTTTTGTTTTGATAGGATAGTTATGAGAATACAATTTAGGTGAAGTGTTGATCTGATGTAAATCTAGATTGCCGGGTCCTGTGAGAGTTTCTTTTTCCTTTAAATTTTCCACGAGTTCATTTCGCTACTTTCTTTGAGTGTTATCTTCATTTTTTGTCCTTCTTTCCTTTCTCTCCACCTTTACCTTTCTTGCCCTTTTTATTCGTTTTCTCCTCCTCTGAAAATAAACAAATTTTAGGTCCAATTCCGTATTCCTCGGACTAAAACTAGTAAAACTGGCAAAAAATAAAATTCGCTCAGAGCGAGAGAGTAGTACTGTACGGGACCGCTTTCTAGTAAAAATGGTAACTTGTGACAACATCAACATAACCTCCAAATTGTTGTAAATTTTTGCTTGTTTTATATAAAAACACATTCAGCTCACACGTGTAAATAACTATAAAAGTACTTTCAAATTCATTAGAACTTAAGCTAGTAATTAAATACTTTTCAACATGTACTAGCAGAGTGCACTTTTCTTTTGTTTACAAATTGGTTGTCAAACTCACTACAGCCGTTTGACACGTTTACCAGATTTTACCAGCAAAAATTCAAGTATACCCCAGAGACCATAACGATTATAAGAAACAAAATTAAATATTTGGGGTGTTCACAGTTCGTTCCAAATTGTGTCTGAAAATGTANATAATTATTACTGACCAATGGAAAAGTTGTTTTCGTCTCGCGGGACGTTTATTTTAAGATGTAAATTATTTTCGTCTTCTCATAATAATTATATGGGACTTTTATTTTTTTCGTCTCGCGTGACGATTATTTTAAGATGTAAATTATTTTCGTCTTCTCATAATAATTATATGGGACTTTTATTTTTTTCGTCTCGCGTGACGATTATTTTAAGATGTAAATTATTTTCGTCTTCTCATAATAATTATATGGGACTTTTATTTTTTTCGTCTCGCGTGACGATTATTTTAAGATGTAAATTATTTTCGTCTTCTCATAATAATTATATGGGACTTTTATTTTTTTCGTCTCGCGTGACGATTATTTTAAGATGTAAATTATTTTCGTCTTCTCATAATAATTATATGGGACTTTTATTTTTTTCGTCTCGCGTGACGATTATTTTAAGATGTAAATTATTTTCGTCTTCTCATAATAATTATATGGGACTTTTATTTTTTTCGTCTCGCGTGACGATTATTTTAAGATGCAAATTATTTTCGACTTCTCATAATAGGTTTGTTCCACAAGCTACTCGAAGTCACTTCGAGTTACACATACGCGTTTCACAAGTAAGTTTTAGAGTTTATTTGATATACGCTGACAGTTTGAACTTTGCTCGAGTTTTTCTACAAGTAGCTTGTGGAACAAACCTAATAATTATATGGGCTTTTTATATTTTTCGTCTCTCGGAACGTTCAAGACGAAAATGATTCACATCTTTTCATAATAATCAATAATAATAATAATAATAGATTGGCGCTTATACATATGTTAGTGTTAGGACGAGCATCTCCTCCGATTTGTGGCGAGCGCCTTGATGTTGTCACACAAAGTGGAGGGACCTACAGTTTTACGCCAACTCCGAACGGCGATTGTATTTTTATGAAAAGCTATTTTTCATGGCAGAAATACACTCGGAGGTTTGCCATTGCATGCCGAGGGGCGACCGCTGTTAAGAAAAAACATTTTTTTCTAATTTTTTTTGCGATGTTGCTTTGGCCAGGGCTTGAACCCAGGCTCTGCGTAGTGGAAGCGCGCACTGCTTACCACTACACCACGGCGACCGCATAATAATTATATGGGATTATTATTGTTTTCGTCTCTCGGGACGTTTATATCAAGACGAATATGATTTACGTCTTCTCATAATAGTTATGTACATATATGGGGTTTTTGTTTTTTTTCGCCTCTCGGGACGTTTGTTTCAAGACGGAAATGATTTACTTTCTGTTAATAATTATATGGGACTTTTATTGGAACGAAACTTCTTAATTTCTTAGTCAAATTAAAGGGCTTTGCTTTTATGTGGTTTTCGTTTTTTGAAAAGGGTTGTCAGGTGTTAGCAAATCAATTTCCAATAATCGAGCTCGGAGATATTTGCGTTTAATTTCGTGAAATCGGCAGTACATATACCGATTCTATTAAGAGATAACGTGGGACGCAAATCATTGTGGTCTTGAAATAAACGTCACGAGAGATGAAAAATATAAAAGTCCCACATAATTATTATGAGAAGACGTAAATCATTTTCGTCTTGAAATAAACGTCACGAGAGATGAAAAATATAAAAGTCCCACATAATTATTATGAGAAGACGTAAATCATTTTCGTCTTGAAATAAACGTCCCGCCAGATGGGAAAAAATAAAAGTCAACATAATTATTATGAAAAGATGTAAATAATTTTTGTCTTGAAATAAACGAAAACGAATGAAAAGACGTAAACAACTTCCATCTGAAAATAATCGTTCCGCGAGACGAAAAAAGATATTTCTCGTAAATAATTATTATACAAAGACGAAAAAAGTTTCTCTTAAAACAAGCCGACGTTTTTGATCTCAAATATTAGCGTAATAATTATTTTGGGTCTCTGGTATAAACAGATCCAAATCNTCTCTTAAAACAAGCCGACGTTTTTGATCTCAAATATTAGCGTAATAATTATTTTGGGTCTCTGGTATAAACAGATCCAAATCGGTGCAGGGGGCGTGACACCTCCCATACAAACCGAATTTTTCATACTGCATATCTCTGGAAGTGTTCATGGTAGAGTACTAGAGCTTGGTATGGAGATGTATGAAATCAATCACAAGGTCATGAACAAAAATTGGGGCTATTTGAAAAAGGGGCGTGGCACATGCTATACATACATACATGTATGTATACAAACCGAATTTTTCATTCTGCATTTCCCGAAAAATGATCATGGAAGAGGACTCTAACATGGTATGGAGATAAATGGAAGCAACCGCATAGTCATGGAGAAAAATTGCGGTTATTGGAAAAGGCGGCGTGGCTCCTCCCATACAAAACGAATTATTCATACTGCACATCTCTAGCAGTGTTCACGATAGAGTACTGGGATTTGGCGATTAGGGTATCCCTATCCTAAAATAATTGTCTAAATTTTTTTATTTTAGAATTTTTAGTAAATTTGTATGAAAAATGTAATATATAAAAATATCGGGTCACGGTGTTTGTGGTCGAACTGGATTGCAACTACTTCAGCTGGAAGACCGAAGCATATTCCGTACGAGAAAAGTGAAGTTTATCCCCATTAACTTCGAAAAAGATCCCAGCTCCTGGCCCAGAGTCAGTGTGTGAGTTCGGGCTCAGTGTTGGAATTAAACCAGCATTCCCCTCAGGGAACTCAGAATTATCGACACAAGTGCTCAAATATCTTCGCCTCACTCAGTGTCAGACCAACATCCGTTTCTTTTTAGTCTGCATGTGGCCTTCCCCACGTATGAAGACACAAAGTGACGGTAAGTGCGGCAGTGCGTCAAGAGCACTATATACCACTCGAAGAAATTAAAGTTAAATGAAGAGGCTATCAAGCAACTATTTTGATTCTTTACTATCGAAACCAGATGCATTTTCGTGGACCCCTACTTACAACTCATGGACCCCCATATTTTTTTAACGCCAACGTAGACCCCCGTCGAGTCTCCCGTGGACCCCTGGGGGTCCACCTGGACCACTTTGGGAATCATGACGTATACTTTCTACCAGTAGAGAAATAATCGGTAGAGAAGAGTTACATAAACGAGCTACTGGCTAGCAAATTTTTATATAGTGTTAATAACGGTATTTAATAAAAAAAAAAACGAATAACTGAAAACCGAAATAATGCATATGACAAAAAACGAAGTAAAGCATGCATGCACAGTTTCGGTTTAAACCGAAATAATGTCTAAATGCAAAATTTCCATAAGCGCAATTTCGGTGCTCTGTAAATGATATCATGACCTAACTACTGTAAAATCTCATTATATAAGATTACTTTTCCCTTAACTTTCGAAAGCAGATTTAAATACCTTTTACTATGGCCTGCATTTCTCTGTATTCCTTAAGATTCATTGGCAAAGGAGCGCATCTGAACCCAGCTGGAAAATCCTTTTCCAACCTTATAAAACGATTGCCACCTGCATACAATAACGGCAAGCATGCACCCTCATTCAAGCGCGTCTTCAACCAGTTGTCAAAATACAAATCCGCCATGAGAATATGTTCAATTTTTGCGCCTTCAAGATCACGCCAATAGGCAATAGTTGTTGTGGGCGACAAATCTTTATAATTCCATTGTTTATTAAGCCAACGACAATATCTATCCCATCCATCGCTGAACTCAACACGAAAGTTCACATCCGAGGTCGGATAGCAACGCATGCTTATTAATTGTTTTTAACTTTCTATCTTTAGGCTAAAGCGTGGCACTCTGCTCCTCTATTGTTACCAGTTATCCACAGCTTTGAGTTATTTGGAATCTAAGAAGTTCGTACATAGAGATATTGCGGCACGAAATGTGCTTGTGAGTTCGCCGACGTGTATCAAGGTAAAACACGTTATTTATGTATACACAAATTTTGATTAAGTATAAAAGTTTAAAATTTTTTGTGTCTATTAATTTTGTTGATTTGCGCGTTTGATTGAGTTTATTGTGTGTTTTTAATGCATAGCTTGCTGATTTCGGTCTCTCACGTTGGGTGTCGGATCAATCATATTACCATTCGAGCATGTGTATTTTGCCAATAAAGTGGATGGCGCCAGAGTCGATCAACTTTCGTAGATTTACAAACGCAAGCGATGTTTGGATGTTTGGTATTGCCAATATAGCTGCATACATATGTATATTTAATCAGTGCATAGTATATAACTATTTTCAATTTACAGGTGTTTGTGCATGGGAAATTCTTATGCTGGGTGTTAAGCCATTTCAGGGTATCAAAAATAGTGATGTCATTACCAAATTGGAAAATGGCGAACGTTTACCGTTGCCAAAAGATTGTCCGCCGCGATTGTATTCGCTTATGTCACAATGCTGGGCGCATGAGCCGTCTAAACGACCTACGTTCCAGAGAATTAAAGAAACTCTCTAGTAAGTGAGCTGGTGGTCGTGCAGTTTTAAATACTAAAATTAATTTTTTTGCAGTGAAATTTTGGTGGATGAAAAAATTAGCGATTCTGAGACGATGCGGCGCGAAAACCGGCGTGTAGCAGCAATGTCTTGGAGTGGCTGTGAAGGCGATGTACCACCAGTAAAACCAGCTAGAACTCCCTTCGAAGGAGGTACTTTCATAAAAAGATTTATATTTCCTATACAAAAGGATTTTTGTTTAAGTGAAACTTTTTTGGCGGCGGCAGAGCATTTCGCCCCCTCTTAAGCTAAGATTAATATCAAAATTTAGATTAAGGGGTCTTTTTTCCGGCCACTTTATCGTCTCGATATACGAGTTTTCGTTTTCTTATCTGCGCATTAATTTCTCGAATCGATAAATTGTTGCTCACCCGATGTAGCCTTTAAAAATTTGTACCCAACTTGAAATTTCGGTTTGGTTTTGGTCCTTGATTCAGATATATTAGATATTAGGTTTGTTCCACACGAGCCCGCGGGTACTCGCGGGTGCCCAAAACAGCCCAGAAAGTGTTCCTCACGCTAGAAAAATAGGTAAAAGAGAGGGAATACCTTCCACTTTTGGATCGTAAATGTCTTCTTCTTCGTGCCCGAAACAGCCCGGAGTTTTTTTCCGGGCAGAAATGTGCAAGAAGTAAATTTGAAATAACAGCTGTTGTTTGTGCAAAGAACGTAGATAATAAGAAGGGACAACTCGTTATAATTGTAGTGAAAGTGAGTAACAGGGACGTGCCTTCTCTTTTCATTCAATCAAGAAACGTACTAGAGCAAAAGAGAAGGCACGCCACTGTTACTTACTTTCGCTACAATTATAACGAGCTGTCCCTTCTTATTATCCCTGCAGGGAGTGACGTTAGCTTATACCTAACTTTAGTCTG